TAGTTGCGAGGAGGGTACTACTTTTTATTGCTATGTTGGGGATGTGTATGCTAATCGGCGATGGTATTCTTACCCCTGCAATTTCAGGTTAGTCACCATGCCATTTTTCCCCCTTTGCTGGGATTTTTGTTTGGGGTTTCGAGTTTTTGACTTATCATATTTGTTGATAGTGTTATCGGCAATGGATGGAGTGAGAGCACCTTTTCCTTCTGTCACCAAATGTAAGAATCAACAACTATTCATGTTATTTTACTTTTTCAAGGTGGGAAATTGTTAAGCTCATCAGTTCCCCGTTAAGTTTGATGTGAATAAAAAAAGAATCCGGCCTTCGTAGGGTTTACACATGTTCACGTTTTTTTCAGCTTTGGTGGAAGCACTCTCTGCGATAGTTCTTATCGTTCTGTTCCTACTGCAAAAGTTTGGTACATCTAAAGTGAGTTTCCTCTTTTCTCCCATCATGGGAGCATGGACGTTGACCACTCCACTTGTAGGAATTTACAGCATCATAAAGCATTATCCGAGCATATTCAAGGCCTTGTCACCACACTACATTGTCCATTTCTTCTGGAGAAATGGCAAGGAAGGTTGGCTATTACTTGGTGGAACTGTGCTTTGTATTACAGGTGAGCTTGCTGTTATTTCACATTACACGAGCTCCAAGACTGACAGGATCGCATTCTTATGACTTGAATAGAAGTATGGATACTTTTTCATTTGAACTGTTGTACATGGTAAGTATAGGAGTCATTATGGAAATTTAGACTGATTTTTATGGGTACTTCCAGGTTGTCAGGTTTTGTGAAGGCGTTTCTGTAATTCTTATGATTTTGTCAGGTTTTGCTGCTGTATTTTAAATGTCCATTGGTCAGATGTATTACAAACAAATGTGCTTCAAGCTTCACAGAATAATTCCTGAATCATTTGCTTGTTCCTGCAATTTACTTTGAGCTATAAACTTTGATAGGCAAAAGGAGTTTTACCGATACATTGCCCTGATGGATTACTTATCAGTATCTGGAGTATCCTTAGTCTTTACCGTTTAAATTTTGCCACAGTTTTGTATTATGTACAAGGATGAATTATGTCATGACACAATCTGAAATACCTATTCCAGTTTGTGTTCCAGTAGTTAGAGTCCAAATTTGCTCTCTCTCTCTCTCTCTCTCTCTCTCCAGTTAAGCGACTGATTGGACAGGACCATAGTGGATTCAAACCTGCTCTCAGTACTCACTGATGTCTAATGATGAACTAAGCTTGTGTTGCAGATGTGCATTAAAATAAACCTGCTCTTCTGACAATGGTAAACATGGTACATTCATGTGACTCTCTTTTATAATATCAGGTTCAGAAGCTCTGTTTGCTGATCTTGGTCATTTCAATCGGACTTCTATCCAGGTGAACCTTCCTCTCCCAAGCTCTTTGTGTTGATTCCTTTCCAACATATCAGTCTAATGCCACTTTTCCTTGACAGATAGCATTTCTATGTACGATATATCCATCACTGGTACTAACATATGCCGGCCAGACTGCGTACTTAATTCGTCATCCTAATGATCATGATGATGGGTTTTACAAGTTCATTCCAGGATCTATATACTGGCCAATGTTTGTCGTTGCCACACTTGCAGCAATTGTTGCAAGCCAGTCGTTAATATCAGCTACCTTTTCTGTAATTAAGCAATCTGTAGTACTTGATTATTTTCCTCGAGTTAAGGTGGTTCATACTTCCCCCGACAAAGAAGGCGAAGTTTACTCTCCAGAAATTAATTACATCCTCATGATCCTCTGTGTTGCCGTCATTCTTATTTTTGGAGATGGAAAAGATATTGGCAATGCTTTTGGTGGGTATATGATATCCTGAATTCTATATCATAGAGCAACTATTTTAGTATGCCATTGCTGCATTAATTTCATCTTCTTTTCCCCGAAAATCTCTGCATGTGACCACCGGAATAATGAAGATAAATTGTGAGGGTCTGCTTGGAGTTTTGCTTTTCAACTTTTTGCTTTTAGCTTTTGAGATTTGAGATTTATTTCGTACTAAATACCTCAATTGTTTAAACATATATACTTATGGACATTTAAGGTCACCAAAGGTAGTATGCAATTTTTTGAGAATCTGTCAAATAAAAAATAAAAGATTTTAGTTTTGGTGGGAAATTTATATTAGTACTTTCTACTTAAGAAAAGCTCAAAAAAGGTGCCCGGATACTTCTAATCTTTCTATAAAGGTTTTGAAGGCACGACGCCGAATATAAAATATGCTTAAGTGAGTTGCAATAGCGTCCTGAATGAAATCTCTTTACACTGTTAACCGAATCAAGCATTCATGATCTCTTTATTGAAAGTAAGTGTTGGCACTCTGTGAAAAAGTTGATCATAGTTTTAATGATATTGTTTTTCTTTGGGTACATTTGATAATCATATGGAAAGACTTTACTAACAACTAAGCATCTCTTGCAGGTGTTGTTGTCAGTCTAGTCATGCTCATCACCACAATACTCTTAACCCTGGTTATGATCATGATTTGGAGAACTCCCATCGTGCTGGTTGCGCTTTATGTCTGTGTATTCTTTGTGATGGAAGGTGTCTATGTCAGCGCTGTTTTCACAAAAATTCCTGAGGGTGGATGGATTCCTTTTGCCATATCTATTATTCTCGCCTTTATAATGTTTGGTTGGTTCTATGGAAGGCAGAGAAAGATGGAGTATGAGCTGACACATAAGATAAACCTTGACAGGCTTGAGATATTACTGTCTGAGCCTGGTATACAAAGGGTTTCTGGATTATGCTTCTTTTACACCAATATTCAAGACGGGCTTACTCCCATTCTTGGTCATTACATAAAGAACATGAGATCTTTCCACAAAGTCACTGTTTTCACTACTCTTAGATACTTATTGGTTCCAAAAGTCGCTCCGCATGAGAGAATCGTTGTAAATAAACTGGGCCTCAAAGGAGTCTATGGATGTGTGATTCAGTATGGATATGCAGATTCACTTAATCATGAAGGAGACGACTTGGTCACTCAAGTTACCAATGCGCTGATTGCGCACATACGGACCTGCTCGAGTTTCTCATCGCCTGGCTCGCCAGAGGAAGCGCATCAAGAAGTTGCTTATATAGAAGAGGCGAAGCTTGCCGGTGTTGTACACATACGAGGGAAGACTAGGTTTTACATAAGCAATAGTTGTGGCTGGTTCGATAAGATTCTGCTTGGCTTCTATGAAGTCTTGCACAGTAATTGCCGGTCCGCATTTCCTGCTTTAGGGGTGCCATTGCCACAGCGTATTGAGGTTGGAATGCTTTACGAGGCGTGAGAGTTGATGCGTCATTGCTAGTAGTTATGTATCCAACTTGGTCATTGACGTAAAGTTCTGTCAGATATGGACGGCTTCTGGTTCAGGGAACTTCCAATTGGAGGGAGAAGACGTGGTACTTAACGTGGAGTTCTGTTAGATAAAGTTATGACTACTGACGTATAAGTTTTTATCTACTTACATATACAATACGTCTCAAGTCTCTGTCTCCGTGTTCTGCTCTTATGATGATCAAACAGTTTGTGTAGTCTAGTGCTGTACAGTTTGTACGTGGAGGGTCTAATGAAGTTGGAACTTCTTGTTGATGGCATTTTGGTTTTGGAATGGGAAATGGTGGTGACAATAAATGGATATGGAGGAAGTCCTGCATTAATGTACTCAAATCTACGTATTGGCCCTCATCTACATGTTATTTTTCTATGTTGCTGATCTTCTATGATCTACTGATCTCATCACTTTCGATCTTGTTAAGTTGGTGCTTCATTTAGGGGTTGAATCAGCCAAATTAATTGCATAAATTGGAAAAAACAGCTGTCACAAATGGATGTTGAAAGCTTCAATCTTTGTTTTTTCTCAAATAAAGGTTAAACCTCTTTTTCTAATTGAGATGTCACAATCTGGGGATCGTAAATCGTTTGTTCATCAGGATGCTGTTAATATGTTACGTGGTGGAGCATATTACCAATTGGTAGAGTGTACGTGAATTCTACTGGTTAACACTGGCGTTGTTATAAACATGTCGGGCAAGTCTCAAAAGTTACTTTGACTAGAGTTGATCAATAGACGGGTGTATCAGATATCGGGCGTAAAAGTCCGTTTCTAAGCTCCCCTATGACATAAAGAATATCAAATTTTCTTCGTTAAAAAAAAAACGTTTTTAAGGAGCACCAAATCAGGGCTCGGAGCGAAAGAATGAATATATCTGCTCAGACCCACGCGAAAGTGCCTCAGGTTCAACTACTATTGATGATTGAGTACATTCGCTTATAATTATATCACAAACAGAAGCTTAGTATATATGCAGATACTACAGTTGTGTTATCTTCACTCACGACACAGTATCTTGTGCGTCGCCTTGAAGCACCTACAGTTGAATCAACAATGTGATGCTATCCGGTGCCAACCAGGGTTGAGAGATCTTTTGTTGGTAGTTAGCGAAAAGAAGAGTTGTTGAGGTGCTGCTGGCATTGAGAGGTTTTACTCCATCTGCGAGAGGTATGATGAGACAATCGGCCATCTATACCTTGGTCGATCGGAGTTCTTAGGGAAAATTTGGTGCGCCGATATGGTAAAATGAGGAATTGCGATGGGTGTCTCTGTAGACGACGTATGGCCTTCTGTACTTGAATGTGGTCTGTATGTTTGAAAAGGAACAACGTGGATGGACCTCCTGATGAATAGGAGTTAGGAGTTAGGATGTTCAATGTGGAGGAATCTTTGGATGGTAAACCTGCCGGGATCATCCGAATCGGAATGTTACCCGAGATCACAAGGGTGACATCCGGATGCCCAAGTCTTTAGGTTATTCGCGAAGCATTGCCCATCTAATTTTTTCTCTTGTCGATCGTCGATTTTTTGTCTCCACATCGAGTGCGACTCTACCGTGTTTTATAGCTCTCTCTGTTGCTCTTCTCACTAAGCAAACTGCTCGATCCAACGAAAGATGAACCAGGGAAAACGAAGAAACAAGAGTACTAACAAAAGGACAGCTATAGAGACAACAATGCTTTGGCTTTGCCCCTTATTTCTCCTCGAATGTCTTATTTCTTCATTCCCTCAATTTTCTTTTCTTTTTTTATCATTTATTGTGATCTTTCTTACAATGCGAGCATTCGTAAGAGGAGTGTCGGTGCCACAAAAATTTACATGCACTAGACAATGGAAGCAATTGTTTACAAACATCGATTGCGATGTCGAAAAGGAACTTCCTTTCCTCTTTCAAGAAGCCTGGCAAAATGAAAGTCGACTGGGCGAATGGATTATCATGATGACTTCTTCGGCTCCGTATTCATCATCGCTGGAATTGTCCGCATGAGTTTCCAACGTGTCTGTATCCTGCATCTGAGGTGGGGGAGCTGGTCTATTGAACTTCCTCACCTCAAGCCTCTTCCCTGCAGTAGCAGCCCCTTCGGATTTGACTGAGATAAGCGGTCGACTGTGGTTCAAAGGAACCCTTGGATACGACTGGCTATGTGCAGTCTTCGGCTGGCTTGCTCTGAAGAAGCTTTGATTTCGGACGCGAACATCTACCTTGTGAATTCGGACAAGGTATAGTTAGTGCTGACGGCTGAGTGCAGACTCGCTGCTGAGACTTAAGTTAAACAATTCACGATTAACCCAGCATTAGAACTTAATGCAGAGGAAAAAGGGAAATCTTAGCCCCTTCCACACAGACTTCGATATACCATCATCCTAAGAAGCTTTCACTACCAAGAACTTTCCCAGTCAATAGTCTCCAGAACTATGCAACTATAAGCTAGGTGGAAAGAAATCGACCATACCTGTCACGGCCCGAACCTCGAGTGCGCTAACACACCCCACCACGGTCGTTATAAAAGCGACGTCCCAGGACGCGTCACCGACCCAATCAAATCATTGACAATTAAACGCATGCGGAAGCGAACTTAATTCACCCAACAACAATCAATAAACGGGATAGTAAGGAAAACGCACTTCAATTTAAACAACATCATCAGCAATACATCGGATTAATATATTACAAGTTCGCCACGCGGACCTTCCCGATTACAACCACAAAGGTAGGGGGTTAACCTATCTCCTCTACCTACAAGGTGACCTCAAAAGAAGTTTGACCCCTCGAACGAGTACCTAGTCACCTCCTGGTCCCGGTCAACAGGGACCCCAAAATCGCACGTGGCAATTTTTCATCACTTAGGGCATGAAAATGGTTAAACAACATCATGCACCTAAAACATGTAACTCAGCCCAACGTACACAAGCTGTCATCACACAATTGTAGGTAACCTTACCTTGCCTTGGCACACGCCCTGCACGTTATAATATCATATACAATCATAATGCAACAAACATATAATGTAATCAGAATACGCAACAACTTTTCCATGCACAATGCATCAACACGTGTCCCAATTATAAGGTGAAACCGCTTCGGCCCATCCCATACAGTGCCTCACAATTTCATTCCATAATCAAGTGCAATGCCACCACAATCTTTCACGCGTATTCCGATTACCACAGCCACACAGGGCACGGCACAACCCGCTTTATTCGCATCAGGTTGGCGATCTTCCGGCATAACCGGGCATCGTCTCGCCCCATCAGGCATGGCATCGTCTCACCCGACCACAATGACGGCATATCCCATAAATGGGTTCATTCCGAATCCGATTCGCGAATGACTACGTCTCCCCTGCTACCAGCGACGGCTTCTAATTACCAAATTGGGGACACCCGTTAGGGCCACTGCCAAACCCTAGGTTGGCGGTCATCCGGTAAAACCGGGCACGAAAGGAACCTTTAGGTGATCATGCACACATCGCAATCACTCAAGTCCCATTGTTATCTTTCTCAATTAGCCAATGCAGACAGGATCCGTGCTAATACGTCAAAATATTGCAACTTTCACACGTAAAAAGGCACTAAAATAATCACACGTGATTATACACATATCAATAAATTCTCAAACTCGGCATGCTTCTATATTTAAGTATCTACAACATATTTCTTACATAAAACTTAACAAATAAACCCGACACCTCAGGGTTTATTAATTCAATTCCCACAATTCTATAGTTAATAATAATCAGTCAATTCAATTCAACATACAAACCAATATATAAGGCAAAATTCCAACTTAGGCATCACAATTTAAGTGTAAAATAACCACAATTTAATTTCGGAATTTCCACAAAAATATTAATATTTTAAATTTCGAAAAATTAATAAAATATTAATATTTTAATTCCGAAAATTCATTTAATTAATAATTAAATATTTATTATAAAAATAATCCGATAGCTTATCGTTAAAGCCCCGATAGTTTATCACATAATTAACGATAGCTTATCAATAAAACCTCAATAGCCTATCGCGTTTTCTCGATAACTTATCAAATCAACTTATCACTTATCGCGATAGCTTATCAACTAATCCTTAATTAATTAGTACTAAATATAATTAACTTAAACTAACTCATCCTAATCAAGTTTAACATACTAATCAAGGATTAGGGCGACAACTCACCCGGAAACGATTCCGACTACACGGACGCGACGGCGGCGGTGAGGGCTACGCGTTGTATGGTTCGGAATCGACTCGGGACGACGACACACAGCTGGAACGGGGCTGAACAGCAGCCCTCAGAACCGGTTTGGCTTCGGTGAGGCGATTTGGCGACGGAAAACGGCACGAACGGGTTGCGCACGGTGGCGGGGAGTCACGGCGTCGCTGCTGATGGTTCTGGCCAGTAAATCAACAGCCAAAGGGGCTGAATGGTGACTGAATGTGGCTGAGCAAAAAGGGAGGAAGGGGATTGGCGTGAGGAAGGAAGAAGAGGGAGAGAGAGAAATGGACGTGAATGAGGGGGGAAAGGAAAGAGAGAGAGAGAGAGTGGTATGTTGGGGGAAAAGAAGAGAGGCCAAGAGATATTTCTCTCATAAATTCAAAGCCAACAAAGTCTTCTTCATGATCACACAAGACAACAAAGTCTTCTTGCATTAAATCATTTTGTTTTTTTTTTGTAAGGGCATTAAACCATTTTGTTTCTTTGTCATATATGCAAGAAGGGTAATTTGATAATTTCACAAAGTATAAAAAAATACTTATACTCGTATACGAGCTAGAATTTCGTACGGGCTCGTATAAATCAAGTTTGGGCTCAAACGGATAAGGAATGGGCTTGAAAATGCTATCGGGCTCAAACTTGGGCTTGAAAATAGAAAACGGGCTTAGTGGGCTTCATTGGGCCCACTTGGGCTTGTCTTGGGCCCAAATGGCCGAACCACATTGGGCTTGAGGCCCAATGTGCCTTTGTCCGGCCCACTTCCTCATGGGCTCCAAATTCTCGGCCCGTTAATCCTTTTCCGAGAATTCCGAGCAAATCGATAAATCAGAGAATTAACGAGGCGACGTGCAATAGTTTAGTCTTGAAATCCTCGAAAGAACGACACTCAATTTCGGACTCTAATTCATGGTCAAAATTGATCGATTGCAACTTTAGTATATCTCAAATTAACAGGCGGCTTTTAGGAGTTACGCGCATTCGACCTATGGTTGACTTAATATCAATCCACGTTTAAGTTTTCTCAAACCATGGATGATCTCGGTTGTCATGTAATTGCGAGGGGTCAATCGATAGTTTCGAAGTACACGATCATTAGGAATTGATTTAAGGTCGTTCACAATCTACACAATGATCAAGCGGAATCACCCGCTCTCCGATTGTATACTACTGGCGAAACATTCTATAACCGTTCCTTGATCGGTCTATGATGGCTTAAAATTGTCCCTCATCAATCCTTATGGTCGAATTGTCAATCCATGGTCGAGTTCTCTGATCGCGCGTACTTAATTCCTTAATAGCTTTTCCCTAATGATTAGTCTCTCATGAGTGATCAATTCAGAGCGAGATTTAACTAACAGTGCATAGATGAATTCATCACTTCATTATATCCCGAATAGGGTCGAAATTTGAGGATGTCACAATACCATACCGCCATAGACGCTCAGCTGCATTGCTCTTCCAGACATACTGTTTGCTTGGCGATTATTTTCTTCATGGCTCTGTCCATGTTGCCTAGCCTTGTAGAAATGTTTTGGCCAGCTCATAAGACCACCATGTTGCCTACTGTGGGTTCTGGGGGGGTGATCTACCGAATGAGGAACCAATGTAGATGATCTTGGGAGAGCGCTGTCGGCTTCAAATGCAGCAACATAAAAAATAATAACCCTAGCTCTAGTCTCCACGAGATACCAGGATCCTTGATGGGAGAAACTGACCGCCCTAATACCTGTTTCCCATTAGCATAAATAAAAGCTTTAGTAGCAAAACACATCATATTAGTACTTCTCTACGTGATACACTATCCATGTCTTTGGTTTGCAATGGCCTCACTAAATTGACAGTCAATAACATTGTAACACACCATTTACTGAAGCGAAATTAATATACTATTGCCTAAAATCAACGGAAACAAATTCATGACTTGGCTTCTCCTACAAAACGGCTCAGCAAGCTCGGGGGAGCATATCGTTGTTCCTAACTGATATGTGGTTGTAGAAACTAACTGAACCGTTTAATTACAGATTACCTTCTTTACTGTGTCCAGCTAAAATAGAGCATCACTTTCTTGTGAAAAGAAAGATGTTGGCTAGGCTACCACTACCCTCATAGCTAAGGTACTCTATATCTAAGAGTTACAGTACATGAATCTGCAAACAGCAGTAGAAAGTTCGCATCACTGAAGTATTGAAGAAGAAATTGCAAGAGTCAAGGGCTTCAGAGTTCTGCTCAAAAGATACTGGAAGCAAATCAAAATTGAGTATAATGATCTGGTGACACGCTTCCCAACATATAATAGATTAGGTTACCTGATGTACCTGGACTTTGGAAACTTGAATTCCCATGCGACGGCCATAGTGCCGCAGGCAATGTAATCAGTTCTTCCTCAACACCTTGTGTTTTTATAAATCCTTCTAACAAAAATCCAATGGAATGTTGAGGTAGTTCTATAGTTTCTCTTCTAATGTATATCGTCATTTCTGACCTTTCGGCAACAAGAGCTCTCAGTTCTTGCATTGCCATTTTCTCAAATACTTGAGGAAGCAAGAGCTTTGCAAGAATGATAGCACTTTCCTGCAAGTAAATATACTCAGCTATACATCCTTGATCATTTGCTGAAGATTTAAAAACCATTCCTGGATTATTACTAAATAGTAAAATAAGAAAACCATCATCCAGAAAAAAGCGATATCCTTTTGACAATGAAAAGATGTCTGTTACTCGATGACAGAGATCTTGATGCAGACATTGAGTCCCTAAAACAGATATAAGACATACGCTTCTGCAAGCTCGCTAAGGGAAATACATAGTAGTCGTACCTGCCAAAGGAATTCTTCTACTGAAGGATCTAACCGAAGAACCGAAAGTATCTTTTCAGAATCCAGAAAGAAACAAAGAACAACAGAATCTGTAATCATGTCACAGATACATGGTTTCCCACTCAACACCTCATATAGGCCCAGCGTACTCCCATATGTAAAAGTTGGATGCAATGAGTGCTTGTTTCTTATACTCTTACTACTCCACTGCCAAAGATCCGTAAAAAAGCTATTAGAACAAAAGAAATAGGTAAAAAATCTGTGCCATTCTCAAACGAAAACACTTTTTCATGTCTAATAAATGCATTCTCGAAATGAAGAGCACGGATTGCAACACAAGACATCGTTGGCAAACTGTAAGGACATTCAAAGGACATCAATTGGTTTGGCGCTTTTTATCTTACATTTACATGTGTTTCGAATCTGGTTGTCAACAGAAAAGTTCTGGTGCTGCATTCATCACTTGAGACAATCGTTGTTACTTATACAACCATCCTTTTTTTGGTTGTGTTTTTCTTCTTCTTTTTTTTGTCTGCATAGTTGATTAGGTCGGTTGATACGAAGCAACTGATTTCAGGATTTGATCGCTCCCGGCGAGTTATGTTTCTTGCTTGCGTAAGTGTCATAGGTTTGGCATCAGGACGCTGCGTGATTTCAAGGTTTGAAGTTTCCCGTTGTACCTACATTGTTCTCCTGTATGGTTGCATTCGTTTTCGGGTTGGTAATCTAAGCACATGTTGGCAGGAAACAAAACAATCAATGAAGATTTACACTCATTAAATGTACATGTATGTATCATGATATAGTCACACGTCAATACTAAAGAATGCTCGGGAAGTATGATAACCACAAGAGTTAATGTTTGTGATTCGTGAACCGACTCTAGCTGAATTGGCATTTCTTGTTCTTTAAGCGTCGGCAAGCGACCTCGTCATTCATGGGACTTATTTAACGGGTACATCTTGAACCGGACTAAAAAATCGGGTTTAATTTATTGTCCAGGCCTCTTCAGTTTTCACAGTATATATTGGTATGAACATTGACATGTTCGAGCTGGCCCGGGCTCGATTCATAGCTGGGGGCGCGGGCCGCATTATCAAAATCCGCACTTTGATCGGCTTCTCTCCGTATTGTGGACACATGATATGGCTATTATCAAAACGACTTGGGAAGTTTCACTGATCCCCGAGCCTATACAACAACATTTATCCACGAGCCTATGCAACATGAGCTTTTCGCAGGAAAAGTTGAAGTAGGAAAGGGCAATTTGCACGGAAGGTAGAATCTTATTTTGACAAAAAAAAAAAATTTGTTTCTTCTCATGGTTCGAATCGTTATGAATAAGATTAACAATTTGACTTGGCTCAATGTTGTGCATTAGGGACTTTTACAAAAGCAATGAATCTGTCCTGATCCACCGTCCTGCTGGCAGGACCCTCCCAAAGCTTCATATACTTCGATGCAGTAATTGTTGCAGTCAGATATCCCCGAGCACGGCCCTACATCATCCACATATAGAGTCCTGTATTTCTTGATCTCCCTTGCAGCTGATGTTTCTGAGATACAAGAATTCAGGAAATCCCAGTAATCAACATAGTAACATGTAACGAATCGATACCTACTGTGACTAATTAAACAATTCAATGTGGAAAACTTAGGTCAGGAAACTTGTTGAGAATTCCAATTTTGGCTATTAGTCCTCTCACATAGAAAAATTGTACAATGAAGCCATCTCGTCGTGTTTTGGTAATTTCATAGTCTATCTGAAACGGAATGAATACAATGAATGCTTACGAAACTTAAACATGGTCTTTTTATTTCGAGGAAAATTTCATGATAAAAGAAAGTGTTTCCGAGAAATTATTTTCCAGCAATATATATTCTCCTTTCCAAGTTAGGGGATTCATTTTCCAAACTTTGCGCATGCATATTTTTTACCATAAATGATTTTCCGTTGACTAATTATTTTGAGCAAACCAAATGCGTGAAAGTCCAGAAATCTAATTCACCAAAAATCCTTTCACTCAAACAAACACACCCTTACCCGTAAAGCAAAGAGAAATCAGGCAAAGAATGCTTATAAATAAATAAACCCTTTGGGAAGCCATGTTGGTGACCTTCCCTTCTCGCTCTTCTTCAAGCTATAATATGAGGGTGCGATTGGTTGTGAAAAATCACACAAGATTTCTACGTATATATGGGCAATCCGAGCACCCTTACAGCAACCATCTTATATAAAAATTGAGCTCATACCGTATAGAACACTCGCAGATCTTGTATGTATAAACAACTAGAGTCTTCTTATGGCAAAATGTATCCACATGTAATTAATTCCAAATAAAAGCATGGCTTTCTCACTGATCTTGCCCGACTTATGGGCACTTCTAATTGAATTTCAACAGGACTTCACGATTTGCTGCCTTGGAAGGAGTCTTTCAAACCGATGCTACAATTTTGATTCATCATGCAGTGAACAAATTAACTTGTATAGTTGATTTCCATTTTCCAAAGCCAGCACCTTTGGTTCTTCATTTCTGCGTGCTCTAAGAATTAGTGGTGCATCATGGTTCTAGGGTAAAACCTAGAACCTGATAACCGAATCGGTGGGAACCTGTTCGGTTTCAGGTTTTAGGGTATGCAGGGTAGGTTCTAGGTTTTAAAGATTGGATAACCTGTTTCGACAGGTAGGTTCCAGGTTCTAAGTAGGTGGAACCTGGAATCTAGGATAAGTTTTTCTGTTTTTATTGGTCTATGTCATTGCTCGATCTGGCGGTATTCCATGCCGTCCAATGATAAGTGTATAATTTGAAACCACTAATATAAGTTTCCTTTTATGACTGAGACTTTTACTTTGTTAATGATTCATATTATTTATGTGTCTAAATATAAGTTTTGATCAGTGAATTATAGCTGCAAGTGTTGATCATTAAAAGTAATGATTCATTGCAATCGTTCAACAAATAATAAAAAAAGAACATGGGTAGTCCCTGGAATCGACCCTAGAACCTGTGACAAGGTAGGTTCCAAAGTATGTAAGGTAGGTTTCATGTTCCAAAAAATAAGAAACCTGTTCTAGCAAATAGGTTCCAAGTTCTAGATGGAACCTATATGGAACCTGGAAGTGTTCACTCCTACTAAGAATAGGCTTCTTTTTGGAAGATGTGGAAAATGCGAGTGGTTTGTTTAAGAAGGTGGACGTAGGGACAGAAGAATTTTTACCAAACCTAAGAATCGAAGAGCAATTGATGTTGTTGATTTTATCTTGTTAAATTGATTCTTGAACCTAGAGGAGTTCAAACTCATCTAGCACTTTTTTACATCTATAGGAATTGGAAAGCTCTCTTGAACCAAAACATGGTAATCATCCTTGCGATTGCCAATTTTTTTATAATCCTATCCACTGCCCTAAAATAGGAGATCCTCCACGTTTGCTTGAAATATAATATGCCACAAAATCCAAAGAATGACACCATGAAATCCGATCACAATCCTGAATAAAACCAAACAACTACGGAGTCTCCTTCACTAGACTCATTGTCGCTCAAATTATGACCATCTCATATGTCCATATCATCATGCTCATCTCTAGGCCAAACTAAGGAGGACTTGTGCCAAGCCCGTCATTGCCGCGATAAATAGATTAATCATCAAGAGTGCTTAGATGATTGCTCAATTGAACAAGACTAGACAATTGTTAAAGGAAAGATCCATACAACTTAGAACGTCTAAATTGGATATGCTAGGAGGGATTTCGCTCGATAGCTTGTTATTGGATATATCTAGTGATTCAAAATGGCTCAAGTTGCCAATTGAAGGCATTCTTCAGATTAGCTTATTTTGAGAGAGGCTCAAATTCTGAAGTCGAGTAAACCTAGATAGCCCTTCCGATATTTGTCCTGCTAATGTATTGCTTGAAAGGTCAATGAAAAATAAATATGAAATCATGGCGATTCTAGGCTTGTTCTTTTTTATTTACCATAACAAAAAACTCCCACCAGAATCCCAAAAAAGAGCAAAAGTAAATTTGGTCCACATCTTGGAGAAGTTGTTAAAACAATGAGGGATGCCTCTAGGGAGGTTGTTATGTTCTAGGCCTAAAATACTAGACATAAGCAAGATGGCGTAGCTGCAAAGGAATGTCCCCACGAAGTAATTTCTCTCAAGATCGATAATCCCAAATGATCGAGCGTGTCGTCCAAACAGAGTTATTCTACTAGTGAATTGACATGTTTGGTTGGACATTCCCAAGTGCCGTCGCTTTTCAAGTAATCCATTTATACATATAAGTTACGCTTAAAATTGACGGACAATTAAATTATCTTAATGACTGAGTGAGAGATGTTCCTAATTGGATAATTCAGTTCCCATTAGGCATGCTTTGGATTGACATCGGTATGCAAACTAATTAGTTTTTTTGTTCCTTCACCTGAAATCGTTCTGGCATGCACGTCTAGAATGTTTACATGGGTTATCCGGTTCAAAAATCTGTGCCACTCTCAAACGAAAACACTTTTCATGTCTAATAAATGCATTCTCGAAATGAAGAGCACGGATTGCAACACAAGCCATCGTTGGCAAACTGTAAGGACATTCAAAGGACATCAATTGGTTTGCCGCTTTTTGTCTTACATTTACGTGTGTTTCGAATCCGGTTGTCAACGGAAAAGTTACGGTGCTGCAATCATCACATAAGACGGTCGTTGTTACTTATACAACCATCCTTATATTGGTTGTGTTTTTTTCTTCTTCTTTTTTTGTCTACAGAGTTGATTAGGTCGGTTGATGTGAAGCTACTGATTTTAGGATCCGATCGCTCCCGGCGAGTTATGTTTTCTTGCTTGCGGAAGTGTTGTAGGTTTAGCATCAGAATGCTGTGTGATTTCAAGGTTTGAACTTTCCCGTGCTGCCTACATCGTTCTCCTG